TCTTGAAACGTAATAGAGAAGATCAGAGAAAGGGATTTCTCTCAGATAATCAGTATGCCTAAACAGCAAGCCCCTTTTAAAAGGTTTGTAGGAAAGAGGGGGACAGGGACTTGTTAAAAAAATTGTAGGTAAATATCATCAACAACTGTTAGCTTCCTTCAAGTGAAGATTGATATGGTTAGATTCTACATTTGTAGACTTAAAATTGTATTCACCACGTCTTCAATCCTACCTACAGAAGAGCTTGTGTCTTTCCTTAGATCAATAATCAACATTCTTCAAGAACTACCTCATCATCTTCAGAGGACTGTCAGTCATTAAAATTATGAAACAACTTCTAAAAGTCTCTAAGCTAGTTTCCAAAAGTAGTATCTATCTTCTCCTTATATGAAATACAACAAGGCAGTGATAAAGATGACTTTTGTCATGACGACTTCTAGATTATACTGATAGAAAGTGGGAATCAATGGTCAAACAGGAAGATCTACCACAGACCTGATAAACTCCTATATTATTGATGCCTTGACTGTTTAATACCAATTGCATGGAGAGTAAAAAGTTTCTTCTCGTGGCTTTTATGAAGCATTTATTTTATTTTATTTTTTTTAATAAGTTTCTGCATAGGTATTAAAACATATTCACAGTTCTCCTGGCAGAAATTAGCTATTCTTTCTGTTTTCTTTCTGGTTTGATTTATACAGTATTTCTTTTTCATTAACATCAGCTAATATGAAGGAGATATGAAACACGGCTAAGATACGAAGACATTTTGCTAAAAAAGAAGGAAGCTACTCAGGGCCTCTTAGATCTTCAGCACAAAGAAGCTCTTAAGATGTTTCCAAACAAATGGGTATCAGTGAATATGTGCAGCTGCAGTTAGTGATTTTCACAGTTTAAAAGCATCCTCCTTTCTGTATAAACATTTATTTTACAAACTATAAGTCTATATGTAGGCTAGAGCTCAAAGGAACATCTTATAAAGTGACAGAAGAGCTAAAACTTGGGAACATCTACACCAAGATTTTCTGCTTGAATTAGGTGGATGTATGTACTTAATCCTCTACTGACCTGATGGGGTTCATGCTTCAGAGGTGTATCTGAAGTAAAGTTACCTAAAGTAGCTTACAATTAAAAGAAATTTAGAATTAATTTAGAACGCCACACTGAATGATCTACTGTGTTAAGGAACAGAAGGAAGAGGGCAACTTCTTCTGCTCCCAAGTGAGGAATGAAATCAAGTGCTCAACATCCTGTCTGTACTCGAACACCAACTTCTGTCTTGCTACAGTGCCTCAAAGATCTTCCCACAGAAACATGACTTTGCTAGCATTTCAGGCTGTTCAACTGCATTTTACTTCAGCTGAATGTAATTTGAAGAACATCTGCACCAGACTGCCTGGTCGTTTGTAGCTCTGCTGTTTAGAACCATTTATGCAAAGACACCTATAGTCTTTCAATGTAGATCAAGCTCGCCTGTGGAATGCAAAATTCTAAATATCTTTCATGGTTATTTGACTGGTAGGTAGGCCTAGAGTGTCTGTGTCATCTAAACCAAATTATAGTCTTGAATATTATTACCTACAATAAGTTGCCTAAAAGAAATCGCAACAATTTCTGCTGTTTTCTGGTCATACTAACTGTGCTGATGCCAAACTGCATGAAAGCATATTTTCTTTTTTCCTAGAAGGAAAAAAATGCATATCTATAGGATCATACATATGCAGACTGCAACCTGCATAGCCCTTCATGACATTCTCAAAAATAGATCATACTGACACTTAGAATTTTTTCCAACTATTGAAACAATTTCATCTGCTACAAAGTGAACTAATTCCTTCTCATCAACCAAAAAGAAAAAGCGCTAGTATTATTTATATACTGTAGGCAATTCATACTTCCTCTTTTTCACTGCTTTACTCTAAACTAAATTACACAACATATTGCACTTAGTCTTCTCCTCTTGCCCTTCTCTTACATACCTCTGTATCTTTCTCAACGGTTAGTTTCCAAAACTGGATATTGTACACAGTATGAACATCAGCTTATGCACTGAAATCTCTAATCAGCTTTCTAGTTGAACTTCCAATTGATGTTTTAATGAAATTCAACTTTTCTGTAATTAACTACAAAATGCGATTGAGATGTACAATGCTGAATGCTTCCTTCTCCCACAGTGACTCAGTAAACTCCACGTTTTATGTTTATTTGATAAACTTTTTTTCTCAAGCAGTATTTCTGTTTATTTTCATTGACAGAGTAGGATACATACAAATGGAAAGAAATGCTCAGTGTCCTCGCTTGTGAAGCGAAGTATTACCGATGACGAGAGAGCTGAATGCAGATGAAGCTTACAAAGTCCATACAGCTCGAGCTGATACCTCAACTGGGAAAAAAAGAACAAAAAACTAACAACAAAAGCCCTAAACCTATCCTGATAGTTAAGACACTAGATAAAATTCAGATATTAATCCCAAAACCCCACAATGCTATCAGTGCAGAGTCTCATTTCAGTGTAAAGCCACACTTTCAGCCCTGCAGAAAAATCATCCATTTGATAGCTTTCTGCAATAACACAAGAGACATTCTGTCTGTGATGGAGCTAGAAGTGACAAACAACAAGGAAGATGCCAATGCATTCCAGAACACAGTCAAACAGCTAACTCTCACAAGAAATGGACACCATTCAAAATGCATTTTACATGATGTATTAAGCCACCCTAATATAAAAACAAACTTTTTTTGCTATACTATGCTCTGTGAATGTATTATACTATATTTCTACCTCAAATGCTTGCCTGCTATTAATGTGATTTCCTGTTAAAAGTATATGCTAATTATGTTTTTGCATGCTAATGAGCCCCAAACCTTTTGCACTCTTTGCTAGCCTACTTTATTAATGTCATACATTAGAAATGCAATGCAAACCTTTAGAGTGACAGACTCACTCACAGAGAGAGCACCAGAATTTCTTTATAAAAACCTGATTACAAAGAAAAGAGACAGTTGATCTACAAAGTGAACAAACACCAAAGAAATCCTAAACTGTAGAAATTAAACTATCACGAGAAAGAACATTATTATTTTAGCTATCACTATAGGTGAAAATTTTAGCCAAGTTCTCTAAATCTTTTAATTAAACTTCATTTTATTTCAGAAAAGGTTAAACCATTTTTCCAACTGACACTGTAATTCTTCAGCCCTATATTGTCCTTTTGCATTCCTCCTGCATTACAAAGGATTCAGAAACCATGGCACTTTAAGAGTCAGCTATAGAAGACCGGACTGAACATACAGCCTTACTTGGAAAATTTATTTACCTTTGAAGATTCATTCATGCAATTACACGTTTTGCAAGATCTTTTAACAAATACTCAGCAGTAAACGGTAAGAGTATCCACTTCGAAAGACAAAACCAAGTATATATACTTCTAATGAGGGTTGGCCAAAGAAGCCATGGATCCTTGGTGATGTTCAAGGCCCTCTTGAATGGGGCCTCGGGCCGCTTGATCTACTGGGTGGCAACCCAGTTCACGGCAGGGGATTGGAACCGGATGTGCTTTAAGGTCCCTTCTACTCTAAGCCATTCTAGGACTGCAATTCCAGAAAGAAGCATTTCTTGCATTAACAGTCCTTGAGAACTAGCAGATGCTTTCTGACTTCGTTGCATCTTTCAAAGTGAGTGATAAAAAGGGCACTTTGCAGTCACTTAAGCTTCTATGGTACACGCAACAGAAATACACTGAATTTATTTTGTAGATTACAATAATCTATTAAAACATTCTCCTTGTATGTTATGGTCAGGGAAGAAAGCTCAAAGATTTTCATCATTTTTGTAAATGGCAAGGAAGGAAAATCATCATTCAACACAAAACACAATCCATCCTTTCTGAAGGGTGCACAGGTGCAAAACCAAAACAGAGTAGCATAGAAGCCCGCACGTGGTGCAAAACAACATGTATAATTATCAAAGGGAAAATAAAACACCTCAAAGACAAAATTTGGTTGAAAATGAGGTCTTCTGAATTAGTCTTGATTTTGACACTTAGATAGTAATTACTAAAAATGTACTTATTGCTTTCAGTCAATCTCAAGCAACATTTAATTCTATTTTTCCACTGCACTTCCATTAATAATCAAAAATTAAACGTATAAAAAGTATGTAGAAATTTTCCAAGAATGCATGTATGTACGCATATATGTCATTTATCAAGACAGCAAAACAAATTCTGCATCTACCTTAATTACTAAAAATCCCGTGACTGAAACAAGAATATGTGCTGCTAGCATAAATGCCCATCATGTCAGGACCAACTGTAGAGTGCGCTATCACTCATGTTAAGGAGATGTAAATTTTTCCACTTCTTCCCTTTCTTCCACAGCAGTTAGTATACTTGTGCACATTAGCAATCAAATTTTCAGCCAGTACTAAAGTTAACTGGAGAAAAAAAAAACAAAAGTTTGACTAAATGTCAAGTCTCGCTCAGAGCTCATGAGATTTAGGTTTATTTTAGAGGAAGATATCATACTAGGATGATGACCGCTAGTCTTCCAGTCTTACATGAGGAAAAAAAAAATCATATGCTTATACACTCAAAATAAGTAGCGGAAAAATAAATAAATATCAGCTGTACGTAAAGATAAGTGGCAATAACATAATTACTTAGTAATCTACTAATTTATGTGGTTCAGTCTTCAAAAAAGACGAATGACCTTGTATATACTCTTTCTCCAGAAATACCAGCATGCACAATCTCTTTCCTCTGATGAATGTTCTTTGTGCCTTTTACTGTAAATACTCGCTTGATGTTAGTCTATGATCAGGAGAAGGTAGAAAACATGGTTTTAATAATATGTGCCTGTATTGAACTCTAACAACTTGGCAAACATATTATCATTTAAGCAGTAAGTGAACTTCATCATAATACTACTGATATAATTACAAAACTACTCACAATAACATGAAGTTCTTCTTTGCTTAGCAATAAGAGCCAGATACTCACAAAGAAGGGTCCTGGACCAGATCTTTAAGGTTTATCCCACTACGATCCTCGGCAAGGTTCCTGAAGCAACTGTCACTCACTAAAAAAAACAGAAATAAAATTAAAACAAAACAAAACAAAACAGAGAAACAAAAGAGGTGGAAATTTAAAAATGAAATATGGCTGTATTGATTAGTTAATACAGTTTTTTGGTGTTAAGTGTAATTTGACATTCATATATAAGGTCTGATTTTCAGTGACATATCAACAAATTTTAAGGTAAATCATCTCAAGGGAAAGTGATAAACAATCTATCACAATATATAAAGAAATAAATGGTTACAAGCTGGTGCCCTTAACACTTCTACATCGCTGGGTAAAGTATAACTCAAACATGACACTGTATGTGTAGATATTGATAGAGAATCCTTAATCATGCACAGCTCTGTATTATCAGGCTAATCAGGAGTGAGTTGCTATGTCTTTAATCAACATATGAAGTTCAATAGCTATATTTACTGGAAAAAAAAAAAAAATCAAAGAAATTGCAAAAAAATTTAAAGATATTAATGTATTTTGGTTTTCTTCACTACATTAATGTGATGATTATGCTCTGAAACTCCTTGATGTTTGAAAAGAATACCTGTGCTGAGATAATTAGCAAACATGTACCCACTTCTCTCAGTGGGACAGTGAAATCTGTGAGGTAGAAATAAAGTTGTAGCACAAGCGCTGTAATAAATCAGCATCAGTTCAAAGAAATTATAGGTTTTTATGACTAAACCAAGACTTTCCGAAAAACAGAGGTTGGGATGAGACAAAAATCAATGTAAAGAACAGTTTCCCCTACTTATCAAGATAACCTGCCAGACTGAGTAAAGCTCATAAGAAATGCAATACTGCTCACTTTCTGATTTAGAACACAGCCTCGCTTATAGTTGATGAAAGGGAATGCATTTACAACCATCTGCAAAAGCATGTGTTCCTACTGCTCTCTAAATGCGAGAGACTCTCTCTCTGATTTACATCTATGAGTATTCATGTGCACCATCAACACTGTAAAAAATGCACATCGTTCCTAAAATATGTTCTTTATTTGCAGAGTAAAATACACACTGTGATAGCCCTACCCCCACAGCCTACACACCTCAGCAGCCCACAGTCTGTCAGGATGATGGTAAAGACAGAAGCTGGAGAAAAAGCCTCCAGAAGGGGCTGGGGTATCTGGGAGCAAGTGCCAACTACGACTCTCTCACAGCTAACAGTATATGGCAGTAACTTCAAGGTTTACCCTCTCCACACTTCAACGCTGTAACAACCTGTGGTTCCAGATAGCACCTCAGGACACTCCATACCAAAGCCATGAAGAGGCTCTTGTCTTTGAGGCAGCTGCCACACATCTTTGGTCAAACAGTAGCTACTGATCCAGCAGCACGTCCGGGACCCCTGGCTCATTCCTCAGAGGCAATCTCTACACTAAAATGAAATTTAACTGCAGTAAGCCAGCAAGAGTGATGTAGGGGAATGAAGCTCCCCTTGAACACCTTGGGCCTTCAGAAACCTTTAATTTCCTCGTCCACTACTGTATTAAAAAAAATCTCAAACTGCTGAGTTAAAGGAGCAAGTCAGAGATCAGCAGAATCACAAACAGCCTATACTGTAAATTTTACGTGACAAAAACAGTCCTATAAGCTAAGAAGTCTAGCTTGTATTTGTCTCTTGTCAAGTTCAGCAATGAAAGGAAGCACAATATTATGACTACTGGTTAAATCCTACATGACTGATGTACTGATGTGTCATCACAATTAACAATGGTGGTCAATAATGTTTTTTCACTACTGACATTTCAAGCATTTCTAAAGCATTAAAGATTTAATCTAAATGTGATGCCTTTTTTCCTACTGTTTCCTCCATATCCCCTCATTGAAAAAAATCAACACTAAAGACACATGACAATTGATCTAAAAGTTTCCTTAAAAGTGAAAAAAGCAAAAACATAAAATTATTTCATCAGTAAAAGTACCCGCTGTTATATAATTCAAGCACTTCATAAAAAAAGATGTGTTTGAAATAAACGTTTAAAATGAGAGTCTAGACTTGACCATGGCTGTCCTTTTCTTACTGATCTATGCTTAATTATTGTATTACATATAATACCATTTTTATGAATGAAGATGAAAACCTTTAAACTTCCCTTCTGTTGGCAAAGTTATTTGAAAAGACTAACTCAACATGAATCGAGTATACGCACACTTCATATACAGGTCTCAACTGCATCTCCTCTTCTTCTTTTTTTGTTGTAGTAGAGTCAGAACACCAAGAAGCTGCTAATTTGCAAGCAAGCTCTTTCTCAGCCTACCAGGCAGAACCAAAAAACATTGATGCCTCATCTAATTTCAGAGGTATCAAACGCACTTCCAAGAATCAAGAAGTTTGGGCATTTTGGTTAACATTCACCAAAATAAAATTTCTGAAAAACAACATATGGCTATAATCTCTGGTTAAATCACTGGCACTGACAGCAACAGGAAAGTTTGCCGTGCATGAAATAACTCAGCAGAACGGTGCTGGACTCACAGCTCTCTCAGGAATGCTTTCGAGCACTTCACCAATCTGCATACAAGCACAGTCACACACTCTTGCAAGCTCTAGCACGGAGGTACTCACAAGCATTCACAGTAAATATGGGATTGAAAAAAATCAACCAAAATGGTTAATGCTTTTCTCAGCGCTTAGGAAACTATAAATTAACACTACGTCTGTTTTTAAAATGCTACACTCTGATGGAAATGCAAGCTTAAAGAAGACAGCAGGCAAAACTGTGTTTGATGGTATAGCACAAAGGTCAGAATGATCAGATATGATCAAGAGTGCTTGAAGGTCTGAGGAGAAAAAAAAAAAAGGCAGGAGGAAACCACATCACTGCTACAAATTGTACCACATACACAAAGGGCACATCTAGTTCCTTGTGTTTAAAGAGCAATCGGAGAGAATTTTGAATGCAACATTTGAATGAACATACAGCCCAAGATTTTATTGCCTTGTTTCAAAATTTAAATTTTTACTTTTTAAGTGCTCAAAGTTTACAAAAGTGATTACTTTTTGCAGTTTTCATTTCTGATTTAAGTGGTTCTGTCCAAACTTTTTTTTTTTTTTTTTGTATGAACAAGATTTAAATTTGCCTTTATAAGCACCATTTGAAGAAATCACTTTTCACTATTAAAGTTGTACATATGGTTGTCTTCAAAACAAAACAAAAGACTGTTTCTTTTGTTTTGGTTTTAGAATGTGAAAAGGCAACTGTTTTTTTTTCCTCAGATGTCAAGATATCTTTCCTTAAAATCCTATTCCCCTGCAAATACAGAATTCCTGCCCTACTGGCATAACTTACAAACGTAAAGATGGATGATCCTACCATTAAAATACATTTAAGGCATCTCAACTGCCCAATGAACAGTCACCAGAGATGAATATCCTGCCTGAACCATTTTTTCCCTGCTACTGTCATTTTTTTTTTCAAGTGACTGCATGTCAAACTGAAAACATACATAAAAACAAATGGCGTATTAGAGAAATTTTGTAGCACCTTCACCAGATCTATTGCAGAAGATAGAAAATTAATTAGAAGAGCATACTACTTGCATCTCTACACACAAATCTTTGTGACATTTTTATAGAATGAAAGAAACTGCTTTCTGCCTGCAGATTGCAAATGCTTGTAACTGCTACAAAAATATGTTGTTTGTGAGTGGCAAAAAATAACACACACTGGTTTCCTGAGAACTCACTATTGGCTAGTGGGAACCCTTAGTGTAAGAAACAACATGAATTATAGAATCATTTGAGTTGGAAGAGACCCTTGAAGATCAGCTAGCCCAACTCCCATGCAATAAACAGAGACACCTACAACTAGATCAGGGTGCTCAGAGCCTGGTTCAGCCAGACCCCGACTGTCTCTAAGGATGGAACATCCACCACCTCTCTGGGAAACCTACGTCAGTGCCTTACCATCCTTTTCTGCATCATAGAATGGTTTTGATTGGAAGGGACCTTTAACATGATCTAGTTTCAATCCCCCTGCTATACTCAGGGGTATCACCCATTAGACCAGGTTGCTCAAAGCTCCATCCAGCCTAGCTTTGAATGCCTCCAGAGCAGAAGGCATCCACAATCTCTCTAGACAACCTGTTCCAGTCTCAGCACCCTCACAGTGAAGAATTTCTTCCTATTATCTAGTCTAAATCTACCTTCTTCCATTTTAAACCCTTGTCCTGTCACTACATGCCGTTATAGAAAGTCCCTCCCCAGCTTTCCTACAGGCTCCCTTCAGGTACTGCAAGGCCACTATGAAGTCCCCCCACAACTTCTCTAGGCTGAAGTTCTTCTTGGCCCACTGCTCAAGTCTGTCTAGGTCTCTATGGACAGCATTCTTTTTTCAGGCATGTTGACTACACCACACAGTTTGGTGTCATCCACAAAATTGCTAAGGGTGCACTCAATCCCACAGCTGATGTCATAAATCTATATATATAAAGACTCTCATCACTGATCTCCACTCAGACATTAAGCCACCACCACTCCCTGGGTACAACCAATTTCTAGCATGTGATAGGAAAACAAAGGAAGATAAATGCCACTTTCACAAGCCATGAGAATGAACTTTGCAAATGAAAGATATTACACTGCTGAAATTAGCCTGTTTGAAATACAAAAGCCCCAGCTTAGTGATGTTAATTTTCCCTGGGCATTCAGAACTAGTTGTATTATCAAGATTAGATACAATTTCAACTCATATATTATAATTCACTCCCAAATATAAATTCTCAGTCGACAAGAGCAAGAATAAAGTCATTTTAGCTTGGTTAATTGGATTCACCAAAATCTACTCAATGCAAATGTTCTCTGCCACATCAGCAAACACCACTTCAAGATATTTATTCATATCCTCTGACCAGATAGAGGTTGGCAGAGCAGATCAACTATCAGCTATCTGTCATTTCACAGATTTTAAACACCAAAGTACTGTAATGATCAGTTGGACTCCCTGCACACAACTGGCATTCACACCTGATAAATGTTCCTGGCATGTGTTTTTCCACA